AGAGAATTCAGCCATAATTTCCCACTCAGGGTTGCTCTGGGGCCCTGACTCACCTGAACCTGCAGAAAATGAGAAAACAAAAATCCCAAAATAAACGATAATCCCAAAATTAACAACAGCCCCCAAACCAGCCCTGGGGGTTGGAACTGGATGATTTTAGGATTCCTCCCAACCCATTCAGGGATCAAACAAAAGGGGGAAGTGATGGCTCAGAATCCTAAAGGGATTTTACTCCCACTGGAGCAGCTACAACCACACCTGGGAATATTTTGCAAACAGATTCACGACAGGAAAAGGGGGTAAAAAAAAGCAAAAAAAGTGTGGGGTAAATTGTTCTCAATGAATAATTCCTCCAGCTCTGATAGCGATGCATAATTACAGTGCATAATAGGATGTATTAGTTGGGGGTACTAATTAGTTCATGTTTGTACAGCTCCTGTGAGGTGTAATGAGCTCAGGCATTATCATTAACTCATTAACTAAGCAGAGCCTTCAGGTTGAAATCCTTTTTACCATAACTCGGAGCAGGATCACCTACACCCCTTCAGATCCATTCAGTGTGGTTCCTGCTGATCTCATGGGGGAGGAAAATTCACAAATTGGGGCCCGGGGGGAAGCACGGGGTGATTAAAAGGAGAGGAATTATTGGCATTTTGGAAGGCGCTGCTTTGGAGCCGAGGCAGGGCTGGGGCGCTCAGGGGGCAGCAGGTGAAGTTTGCCAGGTAAAATCAGTCAGAATCTTGATTTGACAAAAAAATCAGAAGCTCCTCTGGGCTTCAGAGCGTTTCTCAGCCCCTCTGAACAGGAGATAATAAAGTCCTGAAGCTGTGAAGGTTCCTTAAATCAACATTAATTAGCCCAGAAGAGCCAAAAGCCATTGGGTGCTTGCCCAACCCGGATCAACTTTGTGCTCATTGCTGCAGAAAGGAAAAAAAAAAACAAATACCCCCAAAATGTTCAAATCCTCAGTAAATCAAAATTTAGAAATAATTTATAAATTTATAATTATATTTATAATTTAATGCAATATATAATTTATACTAATATAATAGAATATATAATTTAATTATATTTATAATAATTTATAAATCTATAATTATATTTATAATGTAATATATTATATAGTTTATATAAAAATATGATATGATATGATATGATATTACATTGTATTATATTATATTATATTATATTATATTATATTATATTATATTATATTATATTATATTATATTATATTATACTATATTATATTACATTGCATTACATTATATTAATATATTAAATATAACATATCATATTAATATATTATATGTTATATTAAATTATAATATTTGTTTATTTTATTAAATATATGTCTCAGGGTATTAATTATATATTAATATAATAGACTATTGTGTTTTATTATATATAATACATATATTAAATATCATATATAATATAAATCGATATAATATATTATATTAAATTATAATATAAATAATTATAATATATATTTATTGTAATAAATCTGTATCTCAGGGTATTTCTATATATTATTATAATAGACTATTATAACTATTAATAATAAATACATTAAAAATAAATAATAAATAATNTTTGGAAAATCTTTCTAAAAGAGGTAAAAGCCCAGGTGACAGTGATTGTAATGCCAGCGCTGCCAAAGCCACTCCTGCCTGCAGCCAGCCTGCCTTGGGCTCCCATTCCCTGCACAGGGAATCATTCCTGGATCAGGGAATGGGAAATGCAGCCCCACAAAGCAGCTCCCACCTCTGGATGCTCCAAACCTGATGGAAATTTAAAGCAGCACCATCCCTGGGGCTGCTGTGGAGAAAAGAGCTGTGGAAATACCTCAGTGCATCATTCCAGGCCAGTTCTGCCTTGGAAAATCAGTGTTTTGTGGATAACATGAGCTGGATGCTCCCACACCTTTTCTGCCTTGGAAAATCAGTGTTTTATGGATAACATGAGCTGGATGCCTCCACACCACAAATGATCCCTGTGAAGGTTCCAGCTCTGCTCACCCAACCCCAAACCCCATCCCAGTGTCTGACACTTTTTTAAATAAGTCTTAATTATTCAAAATAATCACCATCCCTTCCCTGCCTGTTGTCATTCAACACCTGAGAACCTTCCATAGAGCAAACCCTGATGGAGGCAAAAGAACCCCAAACCCCAAAAACCCAAAATCTCATCAATCTTTCCCTTCCCTTTCCCACTCCAAATGGAGCTGATCCATCACCTTTTCCCAAACCCACACCATTCCTGCACCCTCAGCACAGGGGGTGAACCCACAAAAGCAGAAAATGCTTTGGAAAAAATGGATAAAAGAGGTAAAAATCAATCGATCAATGAGTCCTGGAGCCTGCCTGCCCTCACACAGGGATCCAGGCACTCCTCTCCCCTCTGAGGGCTTCTGTTTTTGGGAGAAAGCTGAGGCTGAGCACAGGGAGTGAGGGATGGGCCTGAGCTGCATCGCACCTGCACAAAATAACAGTTTTTCCACAAGCACGGGTAAATTAGGAAATAAAGAGAGGTTCCATTTCCTATTTTTTTTTTTCCTTCCACCAAACACAAACCCTTTCCACCGCTGAAGACTCTACAAGGGATTTTTTTTTTTCAAACCATTTTTAAGTGCTGTACATTGAATATCTCTCCTCTTACAAGTGGAACCTTGTAGCTATGGAGACGCAGAATGTCAAATCCAAGCTGAAGACAGGATTTCAGTGGGGGCTTTGGGTTGCTACATGTGCCTTCAATGATCTGCTTTCCACCTCCTGAAGTCTTTATCATCCTCTAGATTTTATTAGCGTGCAAAGAACCACTGGAAGCTCAATAAGGACACAGAGTGACCTGTTAGAGACAGCTCTGGGGTGTCCAAAACAATTTGATTTACAGCACAAACCCCCCTCAGTCCATTAATTAATATTTAATTTAATCCAAATTAATCCATCGTTGTTTAATTTAATCCAAATTAAAAAACCAGAAATTGTTGTCAGCAGCGTAATTTAACCCAAATTAAAACCCAGGGACCGTTCTGGTGCTGCCACAGCACCTGGAATCCAGGTGAGCTGGGGTCCCCTGGTGTTTAATGCTGTGTGTAACAACCACAAACACCTGGGGGAATTACACCAATCTGGCCCCACGTTACAGCACCTCCTGGACCTTGAAATTGCCTGCTGTAATCTGAATTATCCAAATTCCAGCCTCCCAAACATCGCGCCTGTGTTCTGGGATCCAAAATGCATCGGGGGTGGTGGTGGTGGCATTTCCTGGATCCTCATTTGCCACGTGCACATTCATGTTTATCCGTTTCCCACCAAATTAAACAACGTTTATTCAAGCTAATGAAACGTCAGGGGTGTTAAACCTGAGTGTGAAGGGGACAGAACTTTCCAGGCCAGGTGTGACAGACAGGGGGAATTCAAAATGACTTGAACATCACCCATTTTCCTCTTGTGCTGTAACAGTGGGCAAAGCAAACCTCACACCTCCATTCTGCGTTTTCCTGGAGCAGTGACAGGGATGTGGCAAGCGGTTTTCTGTTCTGAAAACAGCACAGCTCCAGAGAAAGCAACCCCAAATTCCAGCATTTTACTTCCTTATCACTGCATGTTTCTCCCTTCCCCTTAAACTCCACAGTCCAAAACCACCTGGGGACTCCAGGTGCCAAATATGAAACCTCTCACATTGTCAGAGAATTGGGCTCAAAATTCAAAATTCAATTCAAAACACTGGGTTTGAGCAATCCAGATCCCAGAACTGCAGATCCCAACCCCAACCTGCACAAAAACTCCAACAGGCCCATGAATGGAGCTGGTCCATCACCAACAGGCACGTGGAAAGTGGTTTTCTGTTCTGAAGACAGCACTGCACCAGAGAAAGCAACCCCAGATCTCTGCTGCATTTCTATTCCTTCAGCTTAAACTCCACAGTCCAAAACCACCAGGTGCCAAATAGGAAACCTCTCACAGGTGGCCCATTGTCAGACAATTGGGTTCAAAATTCAAAATTTAATTCAAAACATCGGGTGTTGAACAATGCACATCCCAGATCCCGCCCTGCTCATCCTCACCACACCCATGTGCCAAAGCCAGGGCTCACAATTCCCACAGCCAACCCCAGCCTGCACGAAGGGTGGGAATAAATTCCAACAGGCCCATGAATGGAGCTGATCCATCACCAACAGGCACGTGGAAAGTGGTTTTCTGTTCTGAAGACAGCACTGCACCAGAGAAAGCAACTCCAGATCTCTGCTGCATTTCTATTCCTTCAGCTTAAACTCCACAGTCCAAAACCACCAGGTGCCAAATAGGAAACCTCTCACAGGTGGCCCATTGTCAGACAATTGGGTTCAAAATTCAAAATTTAATTCAAAACATCGGGTGGTGAACAATCCACATCCCAGATCCCACCCTGCTCATCCTCACCACACCCATGTGCCAAAGCCAGGGCTCACAATTCCCACAGCCAACCCCAGCCTGCACGAAGGGTGGGAATAAATTCCAACAGGCCCATGAATGGAGCTGATCCATCACCAACAGGCACGTGGAAAGCGGTTTTCTGTTCTGAAGACAGCACAGCTCCAGAGAAATCAACCCCAAACCACTGCATTTTTATTCCTTCAGTTTAAATTCCACAGTCCAAAACCACCTGGGGACATCAGATGCCAAATATGAAACCTCTCACATTGTCAGAGAATTGGGTTCAAAATTCAAAATTCAATTCGAAACATCGGGGTTTGAACAATCCAGATCCCAGAACTGCAGATCCCAACCCCAACCTGCACAAAAACTCCAACAAGCCCATGAATGGAGCTGGTCCATCACCAACAGGCACGTGGAAAGTGGTTTTCTGTTCTGAAGACAGCACTGCACCAGAGAAAGCAACCCCAAACCACTGCATTTTTATTCCTTCACTTTAAATTCCACAGTCCAAAACAATCTGGGGACATCAGATGCCAAATATGAAACCTCTACATTGTCAGAGAATTGGGTTCAAAATTCAATTCGAAACATCGGGGTTTGAACAATCCAGATCCCACCCTGCTCATCCTCACCACACCCAGGTGCCAAATCCAGGGCTCACAATTCCCACAGCCAACCCCAACCTGTGGGGAATAAACTCCAACAGGCACACAAAACGCCCTCAGGTAGAACATCCACCACCAAGGAAGCCAAGCCCACCTGGTGCCACGTCCCAAGCAGGATTGAGTGAGCAGAACTGCAGTGGAATTGCACAAATCCTCCTCTGCCAGCTCCAAACAAGCAGCAGCATCCCAAGCAAACCCATCCCCTGCATCCCCAGCAGTGGAGCAACGCAGCAATTTGGAATTTCCTTGCAAAGCTGGACGGCAGAAGGGAAGAGAGCTGAGAGCTTTTCCTGATTGCGTTTCCCCGTGTTGCTGGGTCAAATCAAGATTGTGGGAATCAGCTCCAGCAGGGCTGTCTAAGCCTCCACTGATCCCTGAAATGCAATTAAACCCTCCAAGAGTCCCCTTCTCCCAACCCAAACGTGCTGTTTGACAAAGGCTCGCGTCCAGAGGAGCCTCTGTGTTCCTGCTGCCTCCAGGAAAACAACTCCAAGATCCTGCTGCAGTCCTGTTGTCCCTGGATTGTTCCTGGACCAGACCAAAAATGCAGGAAATCTCTGGCTTTAGCATTAAATAGGCCACAAACCCCTCCAGATTTGATGTGGGGTCTGGAGGAAAGAGGTTTCCACATTTAGTTTTAAACCAGAAAAGGCTCTTAAGCTCCTCTGCATCTACCAATCCATTAAAAATAGGATTCTGTTGTAGCCACAGCTCATCAAATGGGTGCAAACAGGGGGAGAACAACACTCCAGATGCCTTTATCACAGTTGTTGACTCCAATTTAATCGCTTTTTTAATAAGTCTTAATTATTCAAAATAATCACCATCCCTTCCCTGCCTGTTGTCACTTAACACCAGAGAACCTTCCACAGAGCAAACCCTGACACAGGCAAGAAAAAAAACCCCAAACCCCAAAATCTCATCAATCTTTCTCACATTCAGAGACACCTCAAGAGCTTCGAAACATTTACCTCTCCTTCCCAGCAGCTGAAATGGTTTTAGGAGGATTCATGGTTCATACCTCGCATTCCCTGGAGCCAGAGATGGTGTAGGTGCAGGGCCCAGATCCATTAACGGATACATCCATGGTCTCAGAGTTTGTTGGCTTGTAGTCCACGTAATATTCCTGCAAAGGGGAGTTCATTTGCCTCTCTGACTCCCGCGCCTTTTTCCTGCGCCTCTTCATCAGCGTGTGCTGCTGCAGCTGCTTCATGCTGGCGGGGTAACGCTTCCAGGACACGTAGATGACCAGCAGGATCATGGCCACCGAGAGGAAGAGGGCCACGCTCCCCGCGATGATCTTGTGGAAGGACACGTGCTCGTATTCCGGCTCCACCGCGGGTGTCGGGATGTCCGCGGAAGGGCTCGGCGTCGCCGGCGTCGGCTGGTGGCTCTCCAGTTTGGACACGGTGGGTTTGGGGATGAACACGGGTCTCTGGGGGGTTCTGGGGGCCTGGTAGGACCTCTCCGTGGCCACCACCTGGATTTCGGCGCAGATGTTGTAGGTTTCCACCGCGTCGCTCACCTTCTCGCCCTGGATGTGCTTGGGGCCCGCGCAGATCATGGTGCTCTCCTTATTTCCCTTGAAATTCTTAAGCCAATTAAACAGGGGGCAAATGCTCCGCGTACATTCCCACATATTCCCGGACAGGGTGATGGAGATGAGCGAGATCCACGTGTTGATGGTCTCCTGGGAGATGTTGGTGAGCTTGTTGGAATCCAGGTTCAGCTTCTGCAGGTTGGGCAGGCACTGGAAGGTGCCGGGCTCCACGCCCGCGATGTCGTTGCCCGATAAATCCAAGTTGTGCAAGGAACTCCAGGTCCACGTCAAGCCCTGGCTGATGGAGCGGATCCTATTCCACTGCAGGTAGATGGAGCGCAGGTTGAAGAGCCGCGGGAAGTGGGCGAAATTGATCTTGGAAAACTGGTTGTGCTCCAAGTGGAGCTCCGTCAGCTTCAGCAGGCCGGCGAAGGCGTTGCGGGACAAGCTCCGCAGGCGGTTGTAGCCCAAATCCAGGAAGTCGAGGTTGCGGCAGTCCTGGAAAACGCGGATGGGCACCGTTTTCAGCGAGTTGGACCTCAGGTGCAGGATCAGCAGCTTGCGGAGCCCCTTGAACTGCTCCGCCTGCAGCACCTGCAGCTTGTTGTAGGACAGGTCCAGGTTGCGGAGGTTGGGCACGGGGTGGAAGGTCTTGTTGTGCAGGTGGGTGATTTTGTTGGAGCTCAGGATCAGCTCCTTCAGCCGGCGGATCCCCTGGAAGGCGTCCTCGTCCACGGAGCTGATGTAGTTGTGGTCGAGGTAGAGCCATATGAGCTGGTTGAGGCCGGCGAACTGGTGGGATTTGAGCTTCTGGATGCTGTTGTAGCGCAGGGAGAGGCCCTGGGAGCCGCTGGAGATGTTGTGGGGGATGTCGCGGAAGGCGTGCGACTCGCAGTACACGATCTTGCCGTCGCAGCGGCAGCTCTTGGGNATCTCAGCTCCCACACAGCTCCACCCCATTATTTTTTCCCTGAATTCTTTATCCTGATGCCCCTGGATGGGGGGAATTATGTTATTTTTTGAGGTATTTTTCCTTTTCTGAGGGCTTTATTTGCTTTCTGACTGCAGCTGGTGCCAGGCAGTTTGTAAACAGCTCTCCAGAATGAATAAAAAATTAATACACCGCTGTAAGAAATGATCAGAAATCACATGTGACCTCTTATTTATGTGCTTATCCTGCTTTAAAATTCATCAATGTTTAACCAGTACTCCTTAAAGCACTTACAGAATGTACACACAGCCACTAATTAATTGCTGCTCTCAGTTTGAATTGGGGCCAGCCCCTGCCTTGTCTTACCTGGCCATGAGGTCAGGATGAAAAATAACAGCCAGAGATTGAGTGTAAAAACATAAAATTACAAAAAAACGGGTAGGGGAAAAGTTATGGGGTTTTCTATGAGTTTTGTTTATAATTTATTTGATTTCCTTTGACCTGAATTGAGCTGTAGGCTGCTAATTTGGGTTAATACTGATAATTACTCAAAAGAGTGAATGTGGAATAGTTAATCACTCAAAGGCTTTTCCTTTTTTTTTTTGAATAGCAGAGATTAAACCTGTCCTGCCACTCCCCACCCCCCTGGTGAAAATGGGATTTAACTCTTGCTGGGAATGGAGAAAAATCCATTCCGTTTTTTTATCTGACACATTTTCAAAGGGAATAAATTTTTTTCCCCTACTGGATCTTGGTTTTTCTCCTCAGTGGTGATTTAACCTGCTGTTCTAGCTGGAAGTAAAAGGCAGATTTCAGGTGACTCTCTGGAGGCACCTTTTAGAAATAGTGGTGGTGGAAACAGCAAAATTTGGCATTTGGATGCCCTGGATGGACAAGGTGGGGAAATTCCTCTTCTCCACTTCAATTTTTTATGTAGACTCAGAAAATCCTGGAATTGTTTGGATTGGGAAGGACTTTAAAGCCCACCCAGTGCCATTGCCCTGCCATGGACAGAGACACCTTCTCTACACCAATGCTTTTATGAAATTCATGGTAAAATATCAGGGAAATACGAAATTTCTCCTCTACTTTTCCTTATCACCTCCATGGAAAACGGATTGAGGCAACATTAATTCCAGTCACTCACCTTTTACAGCAAAACAACAGAGTCCAGACCTCACTCTCGAAAATTAATAGAATAAATTCGGGAGCTAATCATAACTAGAGAGAGGTTAATCAATTCCTCAGATTGTTGAGGAATTTATACACACTGGGACCCTTAATGTATTCAACAAAGCAATGGCACCAAAGAAAATACCCATAGATTTTGTTTTCAAATACAAATTTCTCGTAATTCAAAACCGCCGGTGGGCTCCTTCCTTCCCTGATTTGTACAATTTGTGCTCCCACTGCAGAGCGACCAAGCTCTGCCTTCATTTGCCTTCACAAGTGACATTGATGTGGCTTTTAAAGCCAGCAGCCCAACGTGTGATTTAAGAGGCTCCGAGAAGGAAAATTATAACTCTGGGGGGAAGAGACGGCTGCGAAATTTCCATTGAAATCGTTGGATTTCACTCCGGGGACGAGGCAGCACCTGAGCGGCTCCAAGTCAGTCTGAATGTGGGATGGAGGTTTAAAAAGCACTAAACAGCCTTGTGCTAATGCCTCCCCAAGACAAAGCAGAGCTCTTCAGGCTGGCTTTGATGGCAAGGAACAAAACAGGCGCAGCTGGAGGCCCCCGAGGCTCCAGACAATTCTGCTTTTGCCTTTCATGCAGCAGCAGCAGCAGCCAAAGCCCAGCCCTGCTCCAGAGAAAGGCAGGGCACCCCTCTAAGTGGAGGGGAGGGCAGGGACAGACAGACAGGAGGGATCTTCAAAAGGTTCAAGGGCTGGTTGCAGTGCTCGGGTTCTAACGGAAGTCAACGTGACCTTGGTTTGCTTTTCTTCTTTTGAAGGGCAGCTGAGACAGAAACTTTAAGGGATTTAGGGATGTGGCTGCCCCTGGATCCCTGGGAGTGCCCAAGGCCAGGTTGGAGCAACATGGGACAGTGGAAAATGTGGGACCCATGGTGGGGCTGGATGGGCTTTGAGCTTTCCTCCAACCCAAACCATTCCAGGTTTGGATGGGATTTTGGGAAGAAATATTGGGAGAGGGGCTGGGATAAATTCCCAGAGCATCAGTGGCTGCCCCTGGATCCCTGGCAGTGCCCTAGGCCAGGTTGGATGGGGCTTGGAGCAACCTGGGACAGTGGAAAGTGTGGGACCCATGGTGGGACTGGTTGGGCTTTGAGATCTCCTCCAACCCAAATCAATCCAGAATTCCTTGTGCTGGTTTGGATGGGATTTTGGGAAGAAATATTGGGAGAGGGGCTGGGATGGAATTCCCAGAGCAGCTGTGGATCCCTGGAAGTGCCCAAGGCCGGGTTGGAGCACCCTGGGACAGTGGAAAGTGTGGGACCCATGGTGGGACTGGTTGGGCTTTGAGATCTCCTCCAACCCAAATCAATCCAGGATTCCTTGTGCTGGTTGGGATGGGATTTTGGGGAGGAATTCCTGGCTGGGATGGAATTCCCAGAGCAGCTGTGGATCCCTGGCAGTGCCCAAGGCCAGGTTGGAGCAACCTGGGACAGTGGGAGGTGTCCCTGTCACTGGTTGGGATTTAAGGTCCCTCCCCACCCAAACCATTCCCTGGCAGCAACAGAGGAAAACGATGCTCAGAACACCAAGAACAGAGATTTGTGTTCTATTTCCACAAAATCTCAGACAAGGCAGGATAGATGGGCGTAAAACCTCGACTAAAATATCTCAGTGTTTATTCAGAGCCTCCCGTACGCGGAACCTCTGCCCTGACCCCGGAGCTCCTGCCCTCCCCTCCCGCTAAATTAACGGGATAACGATGAAAAGCACTTCTCTCCTCGTCCAGCAATGTGAGAATTGCCTGGCAATTAAGCAGCCTTTGAGGATGACACCGCTGATTATTTCAGGACAATCCAGAAACGGGGTTGGAATGGGAAGAGCAGTGTCAGAGGCACCGTTAAACAATGCCTGGCCTGCCCATCATTCCCACCAATTATTGCGGGATGGGGGGAGAAGGAAAACTATTTATAACCTGTCAGTCTCCAGAAACCACAATTATGATGATTTAATTAACACATGGAGAGAGGCTTTAAGGCAATCACGTCGTTCTAAATTTAAGAAGCAGCACATTTCAGGCCCAGGATGATTTAGGAATTCTGGTTGAGCCGGGGCAGGGCTTTGATGGCCGTGTTGGTTCCTTTTAAAGCATCCATCATGTTCCAAGATAATCCACATGTGGCAGTGAGGGATGGGAGGAATCAGCAGGGCTCTCAGGGGCCATCCCACAGAAGGAAAAGCTGATTTTTTAATGAGGATGGACTGAAAACGAGCAAAACCACAGAACTCAAGTCTCTTCGTCAAAGACAGCATTGGTGTGGTGGAGAAACCTGGAAAAATGGGGATTGGGTGGATGAGAGTGGAAGGACCTGCTTGGCACTGAGTGTCCTTGGCATGGTGCCCTGGAGGCCCAGCCTTGGCTTAACCGAGGCCTAACCTTGGTTAATATTGGCCTAACCTTGGCCTAACCTTGGCCTAATCTTGGTTTAATGTTGGCCTAACCTTGGTTAACCTTGTCTTAACCTTGGGTTAACCTTGGTTTAACGTTGGCCTAACCTTGGCCTAACCTTGG